TCATATTTCTTTTTAATGTATTTATCTTCCATTTTCAATCATACAATCTATATAGGCCTTTATTCCGCTGATTTATTTATGTTTTTATGCATTAATGTTACAAAGTTTTTTATAATAAAACATAAGAGTAGCTAGTCATGAGCAAAAATGGTCTAGACTTTACAATATTAACAAGACCAACACATGATTCTCGCAAAATTCTTACGTAAATTGTAACACAGTTAGAAAATAAAATGAAATAGCACAATGAAAACTTTATGTAAGTATATACAAAGAAATTACGTTGTCCAACCTTTTATTAAAACAGTTGCCTGGTAAAACAGAATTAATTAAGAATATTTTTTGGAGAATGCTCTGAAACAAGCCAAAAAAAATAAAACGTCTCTACTTTTTGTATTTGCTACATACCCGCAGGACGCGTTCTAAGTTCTAATTTTTGTGAAATTTACATTCGTTGAATAACTCGGCTATTTAAGTTTGTCATGTTTAAAATATAAACATACATTGTGAAATGTACAAGGTTTCCAAAATTAACTAATTAAGCGATTAAAAACAATTTTATGTTCATTTCTGCGACTTTCTCCGTGAAGAATAACAATAACCAAAGAGCACATGTTGTATATAAATTTAGTTTTCCTTAATTGTTACTTAATGTCTTAATATCAAAGTAAAATTTGATAAACACACGGTATAACGTAAACTTATCTAAAATTCTAACAATCTTATCCACTAGATTTTTCCAAAATACGTTCGTAAGCAAGTAGAGCAGTGCATGCTTCACTGAGTATTTATAATTACCGGTTTTTCCTATTCCTCTTACTTCTTGATTGTTTTATAAGAATGTTTGCATTACAAAGTGGTTAATAGAATAAAAAATGTGTTTTGTTTGAATGAAGATAATATATCATTGGTTATACATCTCTCGTGAATCTAAATTCGAAGTGATTTGACTGAAAAGTAATGAACTTTGAAGAACCCAATTTACCGCGACAACCAGTACATGCTAGCAATTTTGA